GGACCTCAGTGCGCGGCGCATCCAAAGTCAGCGTGATCGGCGCTAAACGAACCATATCCTGCTCCTGCTCCACCACAGGATACGTTCTACATGCGTTCCTGGCTATTCGAACACGCTCACTTGAAACGGTACACAGGAAACGGGTTTTTCGCGCAGCTGGGAGTGTTCCTCAAGAAATCCCCATAGCGAGATCTCATGAATCCCGAGAGCTTCAGAAACAGTTCAAGAGGTTTTTAGAAAGAGAAAATCTTCAAACACTCGAAACCGTTCTCAGATTTGTGAAATGTTGAGTTACAAAAAAATATATATTGATTCAATGTTCAACTTAACAGCTCCCCAACCAGAATTCCCCATGACAGATTTCATCTGTGATTTTTTGCACCGCCCCCATTCATAAACGTTTCAGTACTTTAAACTATTCCAAACCTTCCACGTCACGAATACGGTCTCCTCTTCCCCACAGGTCCGCTTTTGAGGAAGTTATGGTCCTTAAAAGACACCTACCTCAGCTGGAAATTCTCGCTCCATGGCTAAAATTGCCGAATAATCTCCAGTCACAGCTGCAATTACATGCGCATTCTGCTACCGTACATCCACCTAAATCGGGGGGGGGGCTATAATGATTGTGTAGCGTGGACTTCTTCAACGGTCGACGTTTTATTCTACTCATTTCTTCATATTCTATTCTTCCCGAAAGTCACGCAACGTTGCGTGACTTTCAGTTCGCTTTTTACATCATCGACATTAATGACTTTACTGTACACATTTTCTGTAGTGTCACTTTTCGCTGTACCATGTTCGTTGGCGTTGCTGTCGGAAATTAATCCAACCATTTCACTGATTTCTCACTATACTCGTTGTTGAACAAGGTTTCTTGAAACTGTTCACGTTGATATGCAAGTAAAAGATGTACGTTGTGTCGAGGGTAGGCATTGGACGGATGCTCTTGTTAAGGCTAGTTTTGCTGCAAATAAACGTCATATGTATCTAGACTAACACCTCTGAAAAAAGGGGGGGGGTCGTACCGAACCCCCAAAAAAGGGGGGGTCGTACAGGCTCGACCAAAATCCCCATCGAATGCTGTGCCCTGAAACAACATCCTTTCTAGAGCCTCGGGTAACGCGCATTGCCTCGCACACGAATGATCTCTCGTAGTTCATGTAGAATGATCGTGTTGCGACATCGAATAATAAAAAATTTTCAATGACTAATGATTGACTTAAAATTAAGCGAAGTTTAGCAGTATGCAGTTAAGTCCAATATGTTCACTTCAGGAACTTATAACCTTCCCAACTTTCGCCCACTCCGTGAATTGAGTTCGCCCCACCTAGGAACTCTCTTCCACGATGGTCCTGAGACATGATTCCCTGATAAGTACCGAAATGGGCTGCGAACCTTGGAACTGAGCGCGACTCCTCCGCGATACATCGGAGTTTCACATGAAAAGAGCATCTGTCTTCACGTTACGCCCCAACCACCTTGGCTTCATTTCGTTACGTGGAATAGCGGCTCTGTTTCGCACTACCTCCCGCTGATGCTTTCGCTCATTACGCTTCGAATTTCAGGAAGCTTTACTCCTTCAGCGAACTGTTGAGACGATCCTCGGTACACGTTTTCGAAGCGCATAGGTGTGCCGATGGAAGCGCCTGAAGGATATTTTCTTACTGCCAAGCCTATTTCGTACGTCGAAACTTCTACGAGAAGGTTTTGTAGCTGAATACAAAAAAAACGCTACATTTCTGGCATACGAGCCTAACGAAAGGGATGATCCTGGTGTAAAGGCCAAAGCCCGCGACACAAATTGTGGGAACGGAACCCACATAGGAACGAAAAAGGCTAGGTATCTGATTAGCGGAGAAAAGCAGCAGAAAAACAGTCGAAAATGCCCTAAATAGTATTCCATATCGACTCAAACTTGTAGATGCATGCAATGAAGAAAACGCATGTTTGTACGAATTTCCACTCGTCGTTATCATAAAGATATCAGCTCTTTTATCTTATCACCTCACTCTCACCATTCGGAATGGAGAGAGATAGCACAGTGGCTACTAGCTAGTAGCTAGCAGCGGTGGTTGGCAGGCCTAGAGGGGCGCCCTTGGTCCTAACTTGGTTAGCTTAAAGCGCGATATTCTTTGCGGATTTTCACGTTTTTTAAAGGTTATTAGCGCGCAGCCTTCCGGCAATCTCCTTCCGAATCGTCTGCACTCATATTTGAAAGTGCTCATAGCCTATTTTTTATCGCGGAAAGTGCCTTTTAAGTAGAACACACACTGAGAATCACATAAGGGTACTTCCGACTTTGATCAATCTCTTTTCTGCGAATCCTAGTACTCATGTCTATTTCTATTTATAACTTGCGATGGTGTTTGGACTGCCAGTGTGGTCTTTAGATGGGGGGGAGCAAATGGACACTTTTTTACTCGACTTTCAAGGCGAAATAAGTTACCTTTATTGAATTCTATATTCTGATTGGACATTTCCACCGTCAAATTAACACATTGTACACTATCACGATACTCCGCCACTGTACAAGCGCTATCGAGCACGCGACCGCAATTCGGTACCTGAGTTCAGCGAGGTCGTTGATTTCTCCGCCACTGTAGACCACCCTGTTGAGCTCCGCCCGAACTCGGTAAATGTTGGGGTTAGGCAGGTGACACTCAGATAATCCGTTGTCTTCAAGTTCTCAACGCCCTTCGATTCCGAGTAGGCGAGTGTTTTTCGATTTCATGTGCTGGCACGCAGTCCTGTAGCAGTACGAAGTTTCTAAGAAAGGTAAAAGCGACGACATGAAGGCAAGGATATTCTAATAGTCTACCAACTTCTCTCTTCGTAGAACCTCGGCATCGTAAAAAAGAGGAATCCTTCTTTATGGAGAAACGCAGGATATTCTGCTTGAACTCTATCTAACAGCCAGCGTTCACGTTCGGTGTGGAGTCCTCTAAGGCAACATCGTGTATTTCCATTCCAGGAACTTCTGGTGCATACCATCAACTCGCACCTTCACGACTGTAGAGACGATATTTATTTATTCAAATACACCAGAAGGTGCGCCGCATACTTTAGAAGAACAAACTTATTGCACAGTGATAAGATGATATCCTGGACCATAGCGAGGTTGTCGCAGCTGTTCGTTATTGGAGGTCTTCCAGACCAAAGTAGCGCAAATTAGAATAAAGCAGGTCCACGGCTGACTCATTACAAGAAGTTTCGCAGCTGTTGGGAGAGGGGAGGGTGACGTGAATTCCATAGGCCTTCTTCAGTACGGCTGCGATTGTGGATGGCTTCATATTTTGGTGTACATGATGATGGACGAGGGCCTGCTTCCTGCTTATCGAGGAACATCTTCAATGTATCTCCGCCCTGGTGCTCGTATCCACGTCTCTCTCTCTGGCTGCGTATTCTTTACTGATATGTGCCTCGGGCAAAGTGTCTTTTTTCGTCCCCCTGTATAGTCGTTGTTGCTTTTGACGATGAGACGTTTCAAGCGGCTGGGTTTGGCGCGGCTGGGTTTTCCCCTCAATTGTTGCCCCTCCCTGAAAAGCTCCGGACCTGTAGCGAAAGCGACTGCTCAGTGACTTGCGGGGGCTAGCTGATGCATAAGTCAGTTTTCCACCAGATAAATCTAGTGAGCTGGAAAGGTCCTGGCCGGAGCTGATCAAAAGTTTGAGCAGCAGGCCGTCCGTCCAGCAATGGGCGTCTTTTCAAACACTTCCTCCCCTCCAAATTGTGATTGAACTACGAAGTTTCTGCAGCTCGGACTTCTCACACTTGCCACCGAATGATACTGTCACTTGTTGTTTTCCTTCCAAAAAGGTTTGTCGGGGAAGCTATCTAGCCATAACCAGACAAAAATCTTGAACAGCTTTTTTGCGATTGCCTACAATTTCCTGTCTGGTCGCAGTTCCCGCTATAGAAACACCAGGAGACGAAATTACTGGAGGAAACGATTGTGCATTTCATTTTTCAAGTCCAGGGATCTCAACTATGAATACTTGTTTGTGAACTTCTTGCTACTTTTAGATTCGACCTACAGTCGAGAGCTCTGTTCTTACTCTCATGAACTTTTTCGAGAAGGAGGCAAACAAGGAGGCCTTCAACATCATCCCGTACGTGATCCAATTTCAACAATGTACTTTTTCTGCAATACTTGAGCAATATTCAGATTCTACAAAGAGTTTACTCTGGACGTGATTTACCGTATTGCTATGGGACAACGTGAATCGGAGATATTTTCTGATAAAAACCAAATCGCTGCGGTGGACTCCTGTGAGCTAGTGCACTCTCGGGCGCGCCCTAAGGCTGCGTTTATACTTTGCGGCAGCGTAGCGTAGCGTAGCGCAGCGTAGCGTAGCGCTTCCAGCGTACGCCAGCGGCAGTGCCGGGGAGAGGATGCATATCGATCTAGCGTTCCCAGCGTCACGCTAGCGTACGCTAGCGTTACGCCAGCGTTTCTCCAGCGTTTCACCAGCGTTTTGCTAGCGTTTGCAGCGGCAGGGGAGTAGAGACTATGGGAGAGCTGGAGGGTACAAAACACATCGATTGCGCGTCTCTCACGCCCTTAGTCTCTACAATACACATCGATTCTGCGTCTCTGACGCCACATAGTCTCTACAATACACGTCGATTCCGCGTCTCTTACGGCCACATAGTCTCTACTCCCTGCCGCTGCAAACGCTAGCAAAACGCTGGTGAAACGCTGGAGAAACGCTGGCGTAACGCTAGCGTACGCTACGCTGGTGACGCTGGTGACGCTGGGAACGCTAGAACGCTAGATCGATATGCATCCTCTCCCCAGCACACTGCCGCTGGCGTACGCTGGAAGCGCTACGCTACGCTGCGCTACGCTACGCTGCCGCAAAGTATAAACGCAGCCTAATATCTTTGAAAAAATATTTTCTAGAAACGAACTCTCTCACAGTCCCCTCAAACTTTCTGAAACCCTGGTACGACTAGTCCCCCCTGAGAACAGAGATAGGCCAACCGGCGTCTCGGTTTGCCTGGGAGAATATAGACGCTTCTTATAGCAGAACAAGCGCGCTCACCACTGCGTTAATTTCTTTATTCTTGCGCGGCTACTGCGGCCCCGTTAAATTTCTTTTTCTTGCGGTTGCGTGTCTCGTTAACCATTCAACTTCATTGCGCGTGTGCATGAATCTGCCACCCAAGCCAATGTGTGAGGCAAAAAAATTGACACCGAAAGATCTTAATTAGTTCACGCGTTGGCGGAGCATCCACCCGTCCCATGCATCCCTAACTGGTAGCGTTCAGATTTCGCGAGGTCGCGCGAAGCAGCCATTTTGGATGTTTTGCCACGCAGAAACTGGCAGATTACAAATTTTGTGAATACGCTGTTCTAGTCCTGTGCTGCTGTGCCTGTAAGGGAGGAGGGGCTGGGTTTGGCATTGCGCCGACTGTTTTCACCGTTTTCCACAATTTGGTAACGCCTACCCGCTTCAATAACTAATGGCGAATGGACTGCGCCACGACCGTGAAACCAGCACACCAACGCTGTCCGCCCCACTTAGTGAATAAAACTGTATACGATTGTTAATATTGTGCTGTCCCGGAGCCTGATTGCAATCTGAATGTAAAACAGATAAAAGAGGAGTCAAAATTTTTTGCAAAGAACATCAAAGATCTAAAAGAATCCAAAAATTTCCACAAAAAAATTTTATTTCAAAAAGATCTCAAAAAATTCAAAGGAATGAATATAAGATCCTATGGATCATTTGGATCTTTGAAATTTTTTTACAGTAAAAATGTTTAGCCTCTTTTATGTGTTTTACATTCCGTACATGATTGACTAAATTCTGCCCCTCCCCAACCCCACCAAGCCTCTCGTACGGCCCTAGTTTGAGACCATTCTCTCTCCTTCGACAGCCAGACAGTGTCGAAATATAAGCCACCTTAATATGCTTTTAGTCAAATGTTTGAGAGGTTGAACTGTTCTCTGAAGTTCAGAAAGAAATTAATCTGAGAAAGACCCTTTATCGTTACAATTAGACTGGTAAGGATATTTCTGACTAATTATTCATGATTTATAACTGGTTTTTGATATGCTAACCTTTACCAGATATTCCGTGCTGACCTCCGTCGACCAGTATTTTACTTAGCCAGCTTAGTTCCCAGTCTTCGGATTCCGTTAAGGTGGGAAGCATTCATGATAGACAGTAAATTTCTCCAAGAGTATTCCGTTTATAATTTGGGGTTTCGTTCTACCAAAGCCTTTTCAGAAAGATTTACCTTGCTATAAGAAAAAGTACAGTTCCTGCTCTCTTCAAAAAGATCTACAAGACTATCGACGAGAGGATCGAAGCTCGAGTGAGTTTCGCTCAGTGCAGCTCACGGTTAATACGGCAGAGTTCTGCCTACAATCTTGTTCGCTGCAGACGCTGAGGCATTTCAGGGAGGAGACTGGGTTTGGCGCGGCGCCAGCCAGTTTCCACTATTGTGGGCCTACCAGCTTCCGCGATCGGAGGAGAACTGGCTATAGCAGCACCAACCCCTCTGACTAGCGCGCAGCGAACATGACTGTACTTTCTTCAGGCCAGAAATGCCGCAGAAGGTATAGTATCACAGAGCCGACAGACTTCATAGACCTATTTTTGGACGCGAGAGCCGAACAAGACTTTGACAACAAGGCAGAGTTCTCAAAGACAGGAGTCCAAGTAAATTTGTAGCAATATTTGCAGTTTTTGTGGGTGGAAATATCACATTTCCTCAATTTTTTTTCAGGTGTCAAAACATTTAACTAGGGAGGAAATCGCGGCTCAGTGCTTCGTATTTCTTCTGGCAGGTTTCGATACAACTGCCACCTCTTTAGCATTTGTTACCTATCTGCTGGCTAAACACCCTTCAGTTCAGAAGATTCTTCAAGAGGAGATTGATCAGCACTGCAATCGTGAGGTATGTTGAAGCTCCAGACTTCTAGCATTCTTGCTCAGTGGCAGTGGTCACGATCGGGCGGTAACTGCCGACGTCATTGGTCGGAATACTGCGAAAGAGCGTTTAGCTACACCCCAATCAACTTTTCCACCAGTAACTTTGCAATAAGCGCACGCCCCTACCCATCTTGCCCATTGCCTCCAACTTGGTTTGAAGTTCGTTGTGAGGCCCATGTTGCGCTGCGAAAGCCGTGTTGGTGACGTTGCGAGTGTGTTAGGTGAGCACCTCTTCGACCTGGGTCAAATTTTTCATATCTTATTTCTTGACGCGATAGTTCTACCTGTTTCGAGTCAACTAGCTAGAAGCACCCTGCAAGTCTGTGCTCATGGCCGCAAGATGGATCTTCCGCACCACATCCGATAACGAAGGTAGCCTAGGCAATGCATGAAGGAGAGAAGTTCACTGCTAACAGTGCCTTCGCGATTCTGAACTAAACTGG